TTTCTTATATTATCCCATTTACCTTTTGTCTCTAGGCTTTCCCTATTCTCTTACTTCTGTAAATCTTACTCGTATGCTGCGGATTGTTGGGTGTCTGGGTGTCTGTCTGGGTGTCTGTCTGGGTGTCTGGGTGTCTGTCTGGGTGTCTGGGTGTCTGTCTGGGTGTCTGGCCCCTGACCTTCTCCTCTCCTCGTTCTCTTGTTGCTCTCCTTTTCTTCCTCAGTTCTCCTATTTATTCTACCTGCCAGCCCCGCCTATCCTTGATCCTGCCTTGCTATTGGCCATTTCACTCTCTTTGTTAAACAAACCATCAGGTGTTTTAAACAGGCAAAGTAACACAGCTTCACAGAGTTAAACAAATGGAGCATAAACAAAAGTCACACACCATAAAATAATATTCCCCAACAAGTCAAAAAGCAGATATCTGGGAGAACTAGGTTCTCAGTTTCCACCATGTGGGGTCCTGGAGACATCAGGCTTACCAGCAAGCACCCTACACACTGAGCCATCCCATTAGCGCTGGCTAAGTTGATACTCAGGAGGAGGAAACCTGATGAAAATGTTATACAAGGAATAAAATCAAGAAACATGTCTCTTCCTCCTTTCCTCCCTGCCTTCCTGTCTGTCTCTTTCCTGCCCCTTACCCCACCCCACTTTCCATTGTAAACCTTCCTATCTTTAGCCTGGACAAGCCTGAACCCTGCATGTTTACTTGCAGTATTAAAAACCACTCCAAATGTGAGTGTCAGCGAGAAGGCCTGGGCAACCTATGGGGCCCTGAGCAGTGGATCAGTGTCTATCCCTGGAATACAAACAGTCTTCGTGTGCCTATAGCACAAAGAGGGATGCTCTCTCAGCCTGGACTCTTAGGGGAGTGCCTGGACCCTACCCAGAGTAAAATGACAGACTCTAGATATCCCCTATGTGGAAGGATTTTGCAATAGGGTGGGAGGGTGGGGGGGAACGGGAGTGCGGGAGGAGGGGAGGGAGAGGGAACTGGGATTGACATGTAAAACAAGCTATTTAAAATAAAAATAAAAAATGATTAAAAAAAAAAAACCACTCTGCCAGAGTTGTAGCACGCAGCCAGTTACTCGCTAGGCAGAACTTTCAGGGCAAGGGCTTCAGGGGCTGTGGCACAGCAGGTCCATGTGGTCCCAGACCCAGCAGCTGCAACAAGAGCCCAAGAGCAAGGACTGTCGCTTAAAACTGCACGAGGTTTGTACTTGTGCCGTAGAAAAAGTTATGATAAAAGAAGCTACCCTGTTCAGTAACCCTGACCTCTCAACCTGCTTCAGCCTCCAGAGTGCTGGGACTTGACCTCTCTGATCATTTTTAAGACCATATTCCTATATTCTTCAGTTTGTGTTAGGACCTGTTAAGTTTTACATTGAAACCACACAGTCATAGAAAATACCCTGCCAGCTCACTGAGCCAGTTCAGAATGTGGGAAGAACTTCCTGTAGGTCCAGTAGCTAACCCAGAGACTAAGGTGCTTGGCTCTTGCCTCCTGGGAATGCACGGTGGCCCAGTTACAGTTATTTATTTATTTATTTATTTATTTATTTTATGAGGTAGGGTCTCCTGTAGCTCAGGCTCAATTTGCTGTACAGCTGAAGATATCCTTGAACGCCTGCTGTTCCTGCCTCCTGAGTACTGGGGTCACAGGTATGTGTTACCATACCTGGCTCCCAGTTACATTTTTTTATGCACTGGCCATAGTCAATACAGTGATCCTTTATTCATACACGTATGTAATGTGTTTTGATCATACTCACTCCCACCCTGTCTTGTCCCCCTCTCACTCTTAGTCTCCCTTCCTCTTCCGCTAGTTCCCCTTCTGTTCTGAGCGGTGAGGGTAAACCCACAGTTCCATTAGGGGCCTACAGGAGCTTGAGTGGGAGGTTATTTACAGGACACCGGCACCTTACAGCACCAAAGGACATCCTGTCCCCCACTCCCATCCACCATCAACTGCCTATAGGTCCCTGGGGAGGGGCTTCCAAAGCCTCTCTCCTGGTGATATCTTTCATCTGTTCACTTGATCCCTCCTCAAATATTCTACCTTAGAAATTTGACTTTGGGGCGGTGGTGGCGCATGCCTTTAATCCCAGCACTCGGGAGGCAGAGGCAGGCGGATCTCTGTGAGTTCGAGGCCAGCCTGGTCTACAAGAGCTAGTTCCAGGACAGCCTCCAAAGCCACAGAGAAACCCTGTCTTGAAAAACCAAAAAAACAAGACAAAAAAAAAGTAGATAAGAAATTTGACTTTGAAGCAAGTCTAGTGGCAGTTTGTACAAGCACCAAGTCCTTTCTTTGCTCTTCCCCAGCCAAACCCAGTGACACTCCAGTGTGGTGTTGTTCAGAAGGGCAGTGTGGGCTCACACCTCCAGATCTTCCAGTTTGCCACGAGAAGCTGAGAATATTAATATTCATATGAAGTCTCCTGATTTCTTTCTTTCTTTCTTTTTAACACAGGGTTTCCCTTTGTAGTCTTGTCTGTCCTGGAAGTTGTTCTGTAGGTCAGGCCGGCATTGAATTTGTAGCGATCCATCAGCCTCTGTCTGCAAGTGCTGGGATTAAAGGCATGCGCCACCACCATCCGGCTCTCAATTTCTGCTTTCTGGATATTGGTAAATACTTAGAACTTATCTGCAGCTGGGCATGATGATGCACCCCTGCATCCAGCACTTGGAAAGGAGAAGTGGTAGAATAAGAAGTTCAAGGCCAGCCTGGGCTACATGAGACTCTGTCTAAGAATATATAACAAATAAATCCTTCCAAAACCCACTCATCCACATGGATAACTGTCTGCTTTCCACACAGGGCCTACTGCCTTTCAACCTAGAGCTGAAAATCAGAAGAATGTTTTCCAACAACCTAAGAGGAAAAGTTTTTCAAAATACTAACTATGAGAAAGGTTTAGACAAAGGGTCCCACACAGAGCATGACCCAACCACGAGCGATGACTGCCAAGAGCAGCCTGTGACACTAAATTAATAACTAAACTATTGCAGTTACCCGGCTGGAGGTGTGGTAGACTGCAAGTTCTCTAGTTTTGATGCCCAACACAGAATTAAACTGGGTATGGTGACAAATCTCAGCATTCAGGAGGTAGACACATTATCAGGAATTAAAGGCCAGCCTTGGCTATATAGGAAACCTGCCCAGGTTACATGAGACCCTGTCGCAAAAAAAACAAAACAAAAGAAGCAAAAAGAGGCTGGCACACACCTTTATTCCAGCAGTAGTTTCAGGCCAGCTAGGGCTGTTACACAGAGAAGCCCTGCCCTAGAAACCAAGAGAGCCGGGCATTGGTGGCACACCCCTTTAATCCCACCACTTGGGAGGCAGAAGCAGGTGGATCTCTACGAGTTTGAGGGCCAGCCTGGTCTAGGGTTCCAGGACAGCCAGGACTGTTTTAGAATGCTAAGAAGAAAAATATTAAAAACAAGCAAACAAAACAACCCAAAGCTATGGATATCTACTCATTCATTTGTTCAACAAATATTTATCAAACAAACTTTGGGAGACTGAACATTGTCTGTAAGGAGGCATGAGGGACTAGAGAATGCCTGTCTTATAGAGAAGTAGGGAGGAGGACAAGATGGGGAGGAGGGAGGGACTAGGACAAGTGTCAGAAAGCAAGGGATTGCAGAGAGCAGCAGGGAGAGCTGAAGAGCACTTGAGGGAACTACTCAGAGAGCAGCTGGATTTGCCCTCCTAACCTGGAATTGGGTCTTCCAGGGGTGTGGATCCTGGTTTGATTACTGGTGTGAGAGGAAGTAACCAGGGCTTAGGACCAGCCAAAGGTTCAGAAAGTCTCTTCCCTACAAGCAAGAATAAGCATGTCTGTGGTTATAGGTTAAAATAAGCCACAAAAGGCATGCTAAGAACATGAAGAGATTTTGATTCCTATATTTTCAACTTGGTGTATGTGCATAGCCATATGTATACATATATGTGTGCAAGCCTGACAATATTTATATAAATAAAGCACTGCTCTAAATACTAGGAACCTAAAGGGAGTTTTACAGCTCTTCTCGGAAGGAAGACTGGGATGTGACACATAGTCAAAAGTCAACCATGAGAAGCAAGGCTGCTGAGAGTGTCACACTGACCGAGTGGCCTGCTGTCCTTGGAGAAGTAACATCCAGACTTGCCTTGAATCCCAACACTCAGTAGGCAGACGTGGGAGGATCTCTGAGTATAAAGCCAGCCTGGTCTACATAGCAAGCTCCAGGACTACTTAGAAAGAGCCTGCCTTACTCCCTCACCCCTCAAAAACAATATCATGGGACAGGGGTAGTTCAGCAGTTAGGAGTATTTGCTGCTCTTGCAGACTTCAGGTCCCAACACCCATGTCAAGCAACTCACAACCACTGGTCATTCTGCCTCCAAGGGATCCAGCACCTTTTTCTGGCCCTTGTGGGTACACACACACACACACACACACACACACACACACACACACACACACACACAGACACACACACACTCACACATACACACACACAGACACACACACAGTCACACACACACACAGACACACACACACACAGACACACACACACATACACACACACAGACACACACAGACACACACACACAGACACACACACACACTCACACACATACACACAGTCACACACACACATACACACATACACACACACACACAGGTACAGAGAAAGTGTTTTTTTCTTTTTGAGAGAATTTTTTTTAATTAAATCTAGGAAAAAGCAATAGGATACATGTTCTTCAAACAGCTTCCTCTAGATACCATTTCTATCAAACAGAACATTGATGAGTTGCTAAGAGACGCGAAGAAGGAGGGGGAGACTCACAGTAGGATGGAATGAAAGACTGCCATGCTCCCTTTCTCTCTTGTTTTTTTTTTTGTTTTTGTCTTTGTTTTTCTTTCACCTTTTGCCTTTTGTAACAAGATACTCTGAATTCTCCTGGGGAGACAAGAACATCTGTTTCACATCATACTTCTCACCTGAGTTAGCTCTGCTCCCCTGATGTGGATTCCCAGCATTGCTGGAGGGGATGGACCTGGGGAGGGGGGTCTTAATGAGAGGTTCTAATTTGTCCTTGGAGGCTGTTTCTTGACCCTGGCCTCTTCCTGTCACTCTGCTTCCTGTAGGTCCTGGATCTTCTCTGTTACTACAGCCCAAAATGACCTAGGCCAAGGACACAAAGCTTAAATCTCTGAAACTTTAGCAAAACAATCCATTATGCAGTTTATCCCAGTTACCCAGTCATGGCAGGTAGATGTCTAACTCAATGGTAAATATGGAAAAGACCCAACAAGCTATGACTGTTTCTATGCATCTTGTTTTGTGTTCTGAGATAGTCTTGCTGGGTAGCCCTAGGTTGCTGGATCCATGCTATGTGGAACAGGCTGGCCTCAAGCTTACAGCAATCCTCCAGCCTCCAACTCCTAAGTGTAGGAAGATTGGGAGTTCAAGGCCAGGCTAGACTACAAGAGATCTCTCCTCCCCAGCCAAAAAAAAAAAAAAAAAAAATCCCCTGGGGCATTGACTAAAAGTTGCTCTCCTTCGAGGAGCTCAGACGTGGCTCAGGGGTTAAGAGGACTTGTTCTTGCCCAGCATTGGCTTCAATCCCAAGCAGTCACATAGTGGCTCCCAGCTCCTGGGGATCCGAAGCCCTCTTCCGACTTCTCTGACACACAGCATTCACATGGTGCACATATGTACATGCAGGCATAATATTTATGCACATTAAAAAAAGATAAAACAGCTACGGAGTAGTGCCACATGCCTTTCATCCCAGCATTCGGGTTGGGAGGTAGAGGCAGGTGGATTTCTGTGAGTTCAAGGCCAGCCTGGTTACAGGGCTAGTTCTAGGACAGCCAAGGCTACCAAAGAATCCCTGTCTCAAAAAACAAACAAAAAGGATAAATATAAGTAAATAATTTTTGAAAAATTGTCCAATTCCCCTCCAGTCCTATGCAAGAAGTCATCTTGAGGATAGGACTGGAGGTCTTTGATGATTTCTGTGATTAGGAAAGTTTCAAAAAGAGCTTTGAAAAGTATTTCCATAAATTAAAACCACATACTTGCCGGGCATTGGTGGCACACGCCTTTAATCCCAGCACTCCAGAGGCAGAGGCAGGCGGATCTCTGTGAGTTCAAGGCCAGCCTGGTCTACAGAGTGAGTTCCATCACAGCCTCTAAAACAATACAGAGAAACCTTGTCTCGAAAAACCAATAAATAAATAAATAAATAAATAAAAAACCACATACTTAAAAAATGTTCCCTACAATCAAACAAAATAATAGGCAGAAACCAACCAAGAATGCCTATCTGCATGAAATAACTTGGAAGCTGGATGGCCTCGTGAGTGACCCATGTACTCTGAAATGAGTACACAGTGGCATCATCCCCTGTGACCAGGCCCCATTAGAAGAGCAATGTGCTTTTGAAATCCAATGACAAATTGAGCTTATCTTCTCTTATGCTTAGGTTGCTAGATTCTCTCTCTCTCTCTCTCTCTCTCTGCAACTAAAATATTTGTATGAGTTAATTCTGTAATTAGATGCAGAGATTTATTTCCTACCTGTGTGGCGTAGGTGAGAAAGGTAGCTTGTGACAAACAGATGACTAATCTCAAGTCCCATAGCTTGAGATACGTACTGCTTAGGCCTTATCTATATAATAAGCACACAAGAGAGTCTGACGATATTCTCTTACACAGTGATACAGGCTCCTTGATTTGGAGAGTCAGCACAAAGAGGGGAGTAAGAATGGGGGCAGGGGATCCAGAGTCCCGCCCCTTCTCTAAGCCCGTCTATCTCTCAGATCAATTCAATTACTATCTCCAAGTTCCAGTTCCCCCAAAGTGACCTCATTGTTTTTTTGGTTTTTTTTTTTTTTTTTTTTTTTTGAGACACAGTCTCTCTATTATGTAGCTCTGGCTGTCCTAGAACTTACTATGTAGACCAGGAAGGCCTTGAACTCACACAGATCCATCTGCCTCTGCTGGGATTAAAGGTGTGTGTCACACTCGTGGTCTTGTCTTTGCTTTTTAATATTTGCGTATTATTATGTGTATGTGTAAGCTTGGGGGCACAAAGGTCACTGAACTCATGTGAGGGCCAGATGACAACTTTCCGGTGTTGATTCTCTCCCTCCCTCTCACATTTCAGGGGTCAAACACAGATTATTAGTCTTGTGCAGCAAAGCCTTTTTATCCACTGAGTCATCTTGGTAGCCCTTATCTTACTTTTGAGACAAGGTTTCAAATAGTCCAGGCTGCCTATAAACTTATTATATAGTGAAGGATGACCTTGAACTCATGATGTTACTATCTCTATTTCCCCAGTGATAGAATTCTGGGAGTTTGCCACCACAGCAATATATGCGATGCTGGGGTCAACTCCAGAGCTTCATACGCTCTACCTATTAAGCCGCATCCCAAGCCTATTATGATCATATATATGATCTTCCCTGAGTGTAACTCCTTACAGAAAGAAATCAAGAAGCCCCAGACACGAACAGTTCAGACTCACCTTGAGACTTGGGAAACCGCCTGAGCACAAGGAGGAGAGTGACCTCACAGAGGAGGAAGCAGGAAGCAAGTCTCACAGAGGAGGAAGTAAGTGCAAGGGTGGGGCTGGGTCAGGGAACGCACGGGGCCTCATTACAATAGTCCTCCTGTGGTTGAGAAAGGGTCTCACGTAGTCCTTGCCGGCCTTAAATTCACTATGTAGCCAGAGTTAGTCTTGAACTCCAATCCTCTTGCTTCTGCCTCCTGAACGCTTAGATTAGGTTTGATCTGTGTCTTTTGTCTTTTGTTTTGTTTCACTGTAGCCCTAGCTGTCCTGGAACTCCCTTTGTAGACCAGGCTGGCCTCAAACTCAGAGATCCTCCTGCCTCTGCTTCCCGAGTGCTGGGATTGAGGGCGTGTGCCACCATTGCCCAGCTAATAAAATTTTTAGGAGATGGAGACTTCATCCCATCTTTACTAATTTCAACTCTAATCTGGAAATTCTGTGCTCTATACCCAAGCCTTTGGGAAGCACTTAGACTTGTCCATCAGGCAGTCATAAGTTGATCTTCAGAGAAATCTCGAAACTCACTGAAGGTCACCAGCCAGCAAGCAGTGCTACTACATTGAGTCTACACCCTCCCTAAACGTGAAAGCCACCCCCTGAGCCTCCTTCCTGCTGGAGACCCAGTCCTTGGACGGCAGCCTCCAAGAAGGGTTTCTGACTAGACAAACAGAGAAGCCTGAAGCGTGTGTCTGCGCCCACACATCCCTCCGGTGTGACTGGCTCAGAGCCTTCATTTTCTGTGTTCCTAGCAAAGTCCCACTTTACTGTAAAACTAAAGTTGATTGTGGGGTGTTTGTTAAGTACCTTTGAAAGCAGAGTCATCAGCAAACACAGTCTCTCAGCAGATGACAGGACTGGCCTTGCTCTGAGAGCACTGCTCGAAACTTCCTCAAGGACTGGAGCCAGGATATGGCCAGAATCTCTGAGCAGCGGGGTGTCCTTGGTCGGGGTTTTTTTTTTTTTTTTTTTTTTTTTTGCTTGAGACTTGTTCTCTCCTTGTTGCTCAGCATGACCTCCTGCTATCCTTCCTGCCTCTGCCCCTGCGGCCAGCTGGGACTAAGCTCTCCCACCCACACACCTGATTTCTTGGTATTTTACATAATATGCAACACAAGCTGAGGCTTGGAGGAAAAAGAGTAGCCTCTCAGACTTGATGCAGGGCTGGGGCTGTAGCTCAGCTGGTAGAATGCTTGCCCGGTATGCACAAAACCCTAGCACTGTTGGGAGCTAGGCACTGAGTGACCAACGTGGAGCTGCTGAGCTGGCTGGCTCATCTGCCTAAGTTCACTCCCCTGAAACCATGGTAGAGGAGACGACCGCTGATAATTGATCCCTGTCACAGACATGCGCGCTAGCAGTCACATACCTACTCACCCAGAGCAGTAATAAACAAAAATTTCTAAGAGCTCAAACATGAGCCGGGTAGTGGTGGGGGTACGTCTTCAATCCCAGCACTTGGGAGGCCAAACCAAGTGGATCTCTGTGAGTTCGAGGCCAGCCCGGTCTACAGGGCAAGTTCCAGGACAGTTAGGGCCACACTGGGAAACCCTGTTTCAAAAATCCGAAAAAACAAAACAGGTATGGTGGTGAATGCTGGCAATCGCAGCTCTAGGGTGGTAGAGGCAGGTGGATCAGAAATTCAACATTATTCTTGGCTATTTGGGTCCATTCCAGACTACATAAGACCCGGTCTTTAAAAAAAAGTTGATTTGGTTTAACCAGTACTGAGTGCACAGACTCAGTGGGCACAGTTGCATATTCAGGGTTATGCAAGCATCATGCCTAGTTTGACAGCGGATCTCCAAGACAGGTGTCACTGTGCCCATGTCAAAGAACAGAATACAGTCTTGGTGGGCCTAAGTAACTTGTTCAGGTTACCGAAACACCTCCAGCACCTGACTTCAAGGTCATTGCCTGCTTTGCCTGCTTCTACCCTGACAGCCTACAAGAAGCAAACCCAACACCACCAGCTACAGCAGAAGAGGTATTTATCATGAGAGAAATCCTTTGAACCTCTGGGGATTTGGATCGTCAAAAATGCCAACTCTGAGCAGCGTGGGATAATGTCGGAGGAGGGAGAGAAAATGTCACCCCACTTATAAATACGTTTTAGATTTAGGCTTCTGTTACTCCCATCTTGTACTGTCTCACGTACCACCGAAAATGTACAACACACATCCACACCCACACAAATGTTCAGTCCCTCTAGGACACTATCTGAAGCTTGGACTGAGGGAGCCAGTGGTCACAGGCACGTGGCTCAGTGTCCACAAGTCCCTGGACAGTGTTCTCTGCGCCACACAGGTCCTGACAGTGGGAAGCAGATACGTAGTGATTGCAGACACTGCCAAGGACAAGGTTTCACAGGCCGCAATCATTCTTTAAAGATTTTTTAAATTATTACTGTGTGTTATGTGTGTGATACGTGTGGGCACAAGTGGCACATGTATGGGGGTCAGTTCTCTGCTCCCACCTTTAGGTGGGTTCCAGCCACTGAACTCCAGTCACCGGGCTTGTCTAGTAAATGCCTTTGCCCTTTGAGCATGCTCACCAGTTTTTTGGTTTTCTTTTTGGGCAGGATCTCACGTAGTCGGCACTGGCCTTGAATTTGTCACATAGCTAAGAACGGCTCTTGATCCTCCTAACTCTCAAGTGCTATTGACTATGATGTATCACCACACTCAGCTCTCCTGTAAAGTGTGTGTGTGTGTGTGTGTGTGTGTGCGCGCGTGCGCGCATTTGAGCACATGTGAGACAGACAGGTGTCCCGTTCTGTCACTCTCTGCTTTATTCCCTTCAGACAAGGTCTCCCACAGAACCTGGAGCCAGGCCGGCAGCCAGCAAGACCCAGCCATCCTCCTGTGTCCAAACTTCTCAGCCAACACTGGGTTGTTACAG